GGATTTGAACTGCTGACCTTTTGGTTAGCAGCCATAGCTCTTAACCACTGCGCCACCAGGTCTTCTCTTAACATGTTATTGGGTACAAAATAGGCAGTCAGTTTTTTTCTGAATGAATTTCATAAAATAAATGACTTGTATTAGAAATGTTTGGGAATGATGTACATGATATGTAGCATTTATTATTATCCTTACTTTAGAAATTTACTTTGAAACCTGAATGCATGCTTTAAAAGAGGTTATAACATTTATAGTTCTATAACCAACTAACTAGAATGTCAGTCAAATTCCTATTTTAGAATCTAGAGCTTTTTGAAGTCGTCAGAAGTTGATTCACCCTGTTCTCCCTTTTTCAAAGATTTATTTACCTATTTTCTATGAAGTGAATTGGTTTCCTTCTTACCTATCTTTGGTGGAAATGTAGGAAAACAAGTATTTTTATGAGCTGAATCATTTGGATGATAGAATTCAGAATAGCATTGGAATATTGATATTACAGCCTAAAGAATTATCTATTTTGCTTAACAGATTTGACCCACATTTCATTTTTTTTTAAAAAAGGGCAGTGAGAAAACTGTCTAATAGGATAAATAATTGTCTAATATTACCCATTGAATCTTTATTCAGGTATGGAAACTGTTCCACTAGAGTATGATTATGTTTGCTCTTAACCTTGCAGTACAAAATGTAGTTTTTGAATTCTTTGACATATCTCATAACATGAAAATTATAGACCAGAAACAAGCAGAGAATTGTTAGAGAATCAGTATATTTTGTAGTGTTTTCTCATAACGACTGCTAAAACTTACATGATTCTAATTACATAATGGGTATATATTGAATTATTACAGCGTATGTTATTTATATATAACTTAAAGTCCTTCCATAATTTTTTCCTTTTTTAGTTCAAAACCCTTAAAAGTGAGTGGATAACATCACCCCCAAATAATTTATTTTCTATAACAAAGACATTCTCCTGCAAACCACAATATAACCATGAAAATCAGGAAATTTAACACTAATCTGTTGCTACCATCCAATCTGCAGGTCACATTTAAGTTTTGCTGATTGTCCCAATAACATCTTTTATAGCAAAAGCATCCAGTCCAGAACTCTTGCATCGCAGTTAGTCATCATGTCTTGTCAGTCCTCAGTCTGAAACAGTTCCTCAGTCTTTCCTTAACTTTGATACTTTTGAAAATTATAGACCAGTTATTTGGTCTATAATTTGGAGTTGTCTAATATTTCATACAGTGGTCTGATCCTGTTGTACAATTAGATTCAGGTTATGTATCTTTGGCATGATTATCGTAGAAGTGATGCTGTGTCCTTCTCATTGCATCCTGTCAGGGGCACATGATTTTGGTTTTCCTTATTACTAATGTTATTAACTTGGTCACTTGATTAAGGTGATATTTGCCAGGCTATTGTACTGTAAACTTACTCTTTTGTCCTTAGTAATTAAAAAATATTTTACAGGATATACTTTGAGGGTATATAAGTATGCTGTTCCTCATTAAACCTCCAATTTATTTATTCTTTTATATCAATAGGGATTCATGGATTCCTTTTTTGTTTGAGTTAATGATCCATTATTTTGATTCTGAGATTGTCCCAGATTTGTCAACTTTCTGGTCAAATCAGTAAGTAAGTCCTTCCTTACTTCTCTGGCACAAGATATTTGAGGCCCAGCCTGTACTTATCCTGTCCTGGCCCTGAAGTCAGCTATTTCTTTATAGAACCCTGGTTCCTTTGGTAGAGAATGGTATTTAGACACCAAGATCTGGGTGGTAAGTGTGCTTATTGCTGTTGGGCTATCAGTGTTCCCAGGGCCTCTCAGTGGACACAACTAAGGAAATATATGAATGTATATGCATACATATACGCACATTAACATCTGTATTTTTGTATGTGTGCATCTGTATTGAAAGCCATGAGTTCACACAAATATCTCCAAATCTCATCTAATACCACAGAATTCATTCTAATTATAGATGATACATTTATGTGTGTGTGTGTGTGTGTGTGTGTGTGTGTGTGTGTATGTGTATGTATTTATCTTCTGTAGTAAGAAACTTGACTCCCATCATCCTTGATATATTTACTTGTTCAGTCATCCCCCAGGTGTGTATCCCCAATCTCCTGTTGCCACCAGGCCATCTCCTCCCCCTCAAGTGGATGTCTTCCTGATATCCTGTGCTGGGCCAGTGCCATCCTTATCCCTTCCTTCATGTGGATGCCTCCTCACCCCACTTGGGCTCTGACAGCCCATGTCTGGCTGCCTCCCCCTCCCCACATAGACTTTTCCTCACTCCACTCAACTCTGATATCTTATACAGAGTTGCCCTCCTTCCCCATTTCCCCACTGTCACATGGACATCTTTCTCATCCTGCCCAGGCTCTGATACTCTCTGCTGGGCTGCCCGCCAAACAGCCTACCTAAGCTGCCTCTTGTGCAGACACCACTATATTTATTTTTTTCTGGAGGCTTGGCTTTTATATTAATTTTCACTTATAAGAAATGTTTTGCCACTTAATTTCTACCATTTTATTCTAGTTATTTCTCTTAAAGGGTTTTTCTTTACTGTTGTCTTTTCTCACTGGCATTTAATATCATGTGTGATTCCATCTGATAATGGGTCTGTCTGATAACTTTATAGAAATCCCAATTTTCAGAAGGGTCTTTCTGTACTACTAAAAAAAATGTGGTTTACATAAAATTCCTGTATAGTTGGTAGCCATAGAATAACAAGGTGTAATATTTGATATGCATAGCATAGCAAGGCATAAGAGCTGGTAGGCACAATATAGCAGTAGAAATAGGTAGTGTTCCTGTCCCATTTTTTACCTTGAGTAAATCATTTCACCCTTTGGGACCTCAGTCTCCTCATTTGTAGATTGAGTAGATCAAGAGCACAATGAGATACATCATTGGAAATCCATATCATAAAGAAGAACCTATGATGTATCAAAGAGAGAGAATTTTGGACTAACTTCATTTTTTAAAAATTAGTGAAGGAGGCTGTCATGGATTGAATTGTGTCGCCCAAAAATATCTGTTGACTTTCTAGGTCGTGATTCCCAGTATTGTATGATTGTCTGCCATTTCGTAATCTGATGTGATTTCCCTGTGTGTTATAAATTGTATCACTATGATGTGATAAGATGGATTAGCAGCAGTTATATTGATGAAATCTACAAGATTAGATAGAGTCTTAAGCCAGTCTCTTTTGAGTTATAAAAGAGGGAAGCAAGCAGAGAGACATGGGGACTTCATACCACCAAGAATGAAGAGCAGGAGCGTGCGTCCTTTGGACCCAGGGTCCCTGCACCAAGAAGCTCCTCGAC